ACCACCACCACCACCACCACCACCACCATCACCACCACCACCACCACTATCATCACCACCACCATCACCATCACCACCACCACTACCCATCATCGTCACCGCCGCCGCCACCTCCATCGCAGCCGCGATGGTGATGGTGAGGACAGCATGTCGATGGCGATTTGATGTATGAAACGGTAGCTGAGAGATAGATCGACTCATCAGGATCGCAATAGCTTCTCCGGAGGCAGAAGTGGCGAGAAGAAACAGGCAAACGTGAACGAGAAAATTGGAGCGCACAGATCCGATGGAGAATCCCAAAGAGAGAGAAAGGGAACCAGATGTGAGGAGGGAATGGCGATATACGAGAGCGGGGCGAAGACAACAGAAAGCCGGAGGGGAAACACGCACGCATGCACGCACTCCTGGTAGCGCGGTTGATTATCCATTTCGTATTCCGAGCGACGAGCACACGACGTACGCATGCACACATGTACGCACGCACGCATGCACACATGCACGCACGCACGCACGCACGCACGCACGTTCTTACCCCCGAGGGGTGCCACTATGTCGTACCGAGAACGCGGGACTGTCGTACTCGCGGCGCTCTTCAATTCCTCGTGGTCTCGTCGGCTTCTTCTCCCACCCTACTGATGGTATCGACTGCGCCGGCGGCAGTGACGGCGACGACAACGACGCGACGATGACGACGACGACGACAACGACAACGACAACGACAACGACAACGACAACGACAACGACAACGATAATGACAATGATAACGACAACGATGGTTCTCGACGGCAGCAACGGCGGCGGCAGCGACGACGACGGCAGCGGCAACGACAGCGGTGCGGAGCGGCTTTTTTTCCTTAATGCCTCTTTTCATATAGACAAGGCCGCAGCACCGATTACCGCTACTTGGTAGCTCACGGTGGTAGCGCGCGTTACCGCTGGTAGCAACCGGCGTATCGCGATGACGACATCCGCGCATCGACGACGACGATGACGACGGTGACGGTGATGAGCAGGGACGAGGACGAGGACGAAGACACGATTACACCACGACGACGACAACGATTATACTCCGATTAGCTCGCTTCCCGCTGCTACCGCTGGCCTGCCTGCCTATCTGCCTGTCTGTCTTTGCCTGCCTGCTTGCCTTGCCTGCTCGCTGCTGTGCCGCCGATTGTGCGCGCGCACCTTTGCGTACACGTATATATGTATGTACGATGTACAACGGGTCTGCTGTCCGTCTGTCTTTCTCCCTCTCCGTTTCGCGTGTGTCACGCGCGCCCGTGCGCGAAGTTGTTACGTGTGTGCGTCGTCGCGTGTACAAAAGCGTACGACGAATGCCGAGAGAGAGAGAGAGAGAGAGAGAGAGAGAGGAGGAGGAGGAGGAGGAGGAGGAGGAAGGAAGGACGACGAGAAGGAACGGAACGGAAAGGGTAAGGGTAAGG